ATCCCAGGACCCTGGGATCATGACTTGAGCCGAAGGCAGCAGCTTAACCTACTGAGCCACCCAGGCGCCCCTCATGTTGTATTTCTAAAAAAAATTTATTTTCTAAAATTTTACTCACAATCGCCACAGGGTCATTGCTACGGGTTGCAGCCAGGCTGAACTTCTTTACGTGAGTGTTGGTTTCCAGAGCTTTTGCAAATTCCTTCAGGGTTGGAATTGGAATGTTCTAAAATGGGGAAGACATAGACAGTTGATAAATCATTCTGTAGCCCCCCCTACCCCAAGTCAAGGACCCACAGCCTTTAAATTCCTTATGGGTTTAGATGGCTAAATGCATGAAATTCTTTCTAAAAGATTCATTAGCCATTGTCCAGCAACCAAGCCATCCTGGGCCAATAGCACCACTTAGTGTCTAATAAGGGAATCTAACACAATATAACATTCGGGCATCACCTTCCTGTTACTTTAGCCAAGAAATTATGCACATACCAAACTTCCCTCCTTTTCTCTTTCATTCTCTATATTCTAGCCAGACTGACCTACTTGCCATTCTTTAAACATACCATGGTCTTTCTCTCCTCCACACTCTTAGGTATGCTTTTCCCTTTGCCTGGAGATTCTATTGTCCTTTTCTCTGATTAATTCCTATTCATCTTCCAAGACCTAGCTGAAATATCACCTCCTTTGTTTATTGACTCTCCTAAGCCAGATGAAAATTTCCTTACCTGCAATTCCATAACATTTGGGGGTTTACCACATCATGTTGTAGTTATTTATTTAGTGTCTTTCTCCTAATATAAGTTTTTCAGAATAAAGACCAAATGAATCTTATCCTCTCTTCCACAGCACTCAGCACAATCCTGACCACTGGGAGGGAGGCAATATGGGGTGCACTAGAGGTTGACATGAGTCCTGGGTGCACTACAGACTAGCTCTTTGGCCATGAGCAACTTAACCTCTTTAAGTGCCACTAAGGATTAAATGAGCTACAGCAGTCTTCCTTTATCCATGGGGCATATGTTCCAAGACCCCCATGCGTGCCTGCAACCACAGATAGCACTAAACACAATATATATTGTTTTTTCCTAAACATACATACCTTTGATAAAGTTTAATTTATAAGTTAGGCACAGTAAGAGATTGACAACAGTAACCAATAATAAAATAGAATAATTGTAAAAATATATTATAATAAAACTATATGAATGTGATCTTGCTCTCTCTCTCAAAATATAGCTATATTCACCCTTCTTCTTCCTGTGATGATGTGAGATGATAAAACGCCCATGTGGTGAGGTGAGGTGAGGTGAATGACATAAGCATTATAATATAAGGTTAGGCTACTATTGATCTTCTGACAGTATGTCAGGAGGATCACCTACTTCTGTACTGTGGTTGACTGAGGCTAACTGAAACCATGAACAGCAAAATCACAGATAACAGGGGACTACTGTAATGAATTTCAAGTATTTAACAAAGGGTATGGCACACAGTGAGTACTCAATACAAGTCAGTTGTTATTATTAAATGGCAGATGTTGGCCCAAAAAGAAGTAACAAAATAGGTATCAGGCAATGTTCTCCCTCTCTTTCTCTCTTTCTATCTCTGTCTCACACATACCCTTCCTTCCCCTCCCTTTGAGAGTAACATGACTAATTACCAAACAGAATAAAGCAGAAGTGACAATTGTGACTTCAGAGAATAGGCCATAAAAGGCGCTGTGGCTTCCTGCTTGCTCTTTCTTTTTCTCTTTGACCACTTGCACTGAGGGAAGCACACCGTCATGACTCAAGGACACTGAGGCAGCCCTATGGAGAGAGCCATGTGGTGAGAAATTAAGGCCTCCTGCCAACAGCCATATTAGTGTGCCATCTTGAAAGTGGATCCTTCTGCCCCAATCAATCCTTCAGATGATTGCAGACCTTGATAACAGCTTTACTACAGCCTCACTTGAGATCCTGAGCCACAACTACCTAGCTCGGTCCTGATTCTTGATACTCAAAAACTGTGTGAAATAACAAATGTTTATTGTTTTAAGCCTCTAAGTTTTGGATTAATTTATTACCCAGCAGTAGATAACCAATATTCTATGTTTAACATAAATACAATGATTCTTTCCAAAGAATTCCAGAAACCACTTTTTAAAAATTTCTTCTTTTGAATAGGATATCTTGTCTCAAAACTGGTGACTACAAGGGATTGGACACAGGTGTGAAAGCAGGCAATCGGTCATCGCCATTAAATTTTCTAACCTCATGATAAATCAAGTGACTGACAATAATCATAATGAAATACCTTAATGTTGTTGAGGTTGACTTCTTGCAGGCTGGGATCATTGGCTTTCATCTGCTGCAGACTTACTTCCACATTGGTAGGATTGGGTGGTTCCTCAAATATTGGCTTGACCTTCTCACCTTTGACCACATCTAACACACAAATTTTAATTTTATTTTTGCTTATTTTTTTTTTACAAATTTTAATTTTAAAAAGAAAATGTAAGGTTTCTCCTGCCAAAATCAGAGATGACTTCCCCAAAAATGATCTTTCCTTCCGTGCTCTGATTCCAATAATACTCTAATATCAATGATAGTACAGGTTATTCTCAACGAAGCAAGCATGGGAATGATATGGTTCTGAGTTACAGTTTCAAAGGGGCAGTTATTGCTGCTGTACATGGACCAATTGCAGACTATAATAATCAAGCCACAGGATCTGAGATGCAAAAAAGAAATAGAGTCTTTTCATTTCCAAAACCATACTATTCCTCTGGGATATTTTTTAAAAATATTTATTTAGGGCGCCTGGGTGGCTCAGTCGTTAATC